AATAATTTTTCAGCCAGCTTAGGTCCTCTTCTTCACTGCAGTCCCAAAGAGATAAGATAGCATGCTAAAGAAGACCCCAGTGCTACTTGTTGGCTTTAGAAGGTTCATTTCAATAGAGGTTGGCTGTATTAAAGAGCCATTTACACTTCATGGTCAGGGAGAATTTGCCAGGGGTCCTAAAGGGTCATTATCCTCCACATAGCACCATATAGTGTAGCAGATGCTTCATGACATGTGACAAGGAAAGGCTTTAATAATATGGCAAGAAATCCCAGCCTCACCACTATTTTTTAATAATCTGTTGTTGTCTAGCAATGAGTTGCCATTTTATTGATAGGTGGGCTTTTACTTATATGTGCCAATAATGGCAGCAGGAGAAAATTAAAGAAGTATTGCCGGTGACATTGTGTATTTTACTCCTGCTTTTAGTAACTTATCCTCCTAGGCAGAGTGAATTGGTTCTTGGTCAATAATTGAACAGAGAAATGTAAATTCCTTGAGTTTTTAAAATTCCGTTTGGCTTGATAATTGTGAGTGCAGACAAGCCGGTCATTTGTTCTGGAAAATACCCAAGAATTTCCAGGAGAAACGTAATTGTCAACTGCCTTTGTGCAGTACAGTTACTGAATTGATATGATCCACAAAGACAATGTGCATGGCGTCTCAGGAATAGAAGGATACAGAGAGTAGTACCTGGGGTGCTTGTTACAGGGAACGTTCCTTTCCAGTTGTAGTGTTTTGTGATTCCTTAAGTTTCAAATACACTTAGCATGTGATCTGAGGAAATACAAACTACAGCACAGATTGCCTGAGGAGATTGTAGGTGAAATTTTAAAAACACCAAAACCCCCAACAGAAAGGAAGCCCTTAGAATGAGATTCGCTGGGTAGACAGTATGTGACTATCTCGGGTTTTACTTGGTAAACAGGACAATTTTGTAAGAGAGTTTATTTTAATTTAGCCACTCTTTTAACCATCATGGTGGCCCTACAATGTGATTTTCCTTCTCTCTCTTATTTGGACAACTGTGTCTTCGGTGCTATATAAATCATCCGAGTTAATCTGAGAAGTGAAGGTTTCCAAGTAAGAGCGGCCACACCCTGAGGGCATGGCCTGTGAGACAGAATGCCTTCTGTTTTAGGAATTCTTCCTTTCAACCAAAGAAAATCCCTCAAAAAGTCATGCCTAGCCATCAAGGCCCCCTGGATAAACGGGAATTTATTATGTCATCTTGACACTAAAAAATACTAATCTCCATTCTAAATGTGGTCACAAAGTGGTGTTCGGGGTGGACAAAAGGATTTCACTACCACCCAATAGCTAAGGAAATCCTTTATCCCAGGGAGAACATCTATGCCTATTTCTTATTTCCTCCATTTGAATAAGGTAAGTTTAATAGTATTTATACTGTGAGAGAATGGAAACCTCTGAAATTTCTCAGAGAAAAAAAGAGTAACAAAGTAAACTAAGATTAAAATTCCCACTCAGGGAACACTTTTTTTAGGAGCAGTGACATTTTACTAAACAAGATTTTCAAGATTACCGATACCTCTGTCTGATTCTTTCTGAAGAGAAATCTTTGCATAGGCATCATGTAGTGCATGTGTGGAGAACCCAACAAGGCCAGTTTGCACTGGATCAACCACATGTGTACTGCTCAGATAGTTTGTGCAGATGCAGACCGGATCTACAGCTAAGGCTTCCTTTCTCTTCTGGCCATCTGTAAATCTCTGACAAATCGTCAGAGTCTACTTTGTCTGCCCAGGCAAAACTTAGAGCTGGAAAAAGAATGTCATGGCATGGCAGTTTCAATGTAGGAAAATTAAACAGAAATCAGCACCAGTTTTTTGTAGACACTAGAGTGGCTATTGTACCACAAAACTGTGAACTAAAGGAAAGTCATTCTGTTCTTTCAAACTGTCTTTATTTACAAAATCTAATTCAGCCTACCTGCAAGTGCTTACAATTCATGGTACATTCTCCTACCTCAAGGTTCCCAGCTATTTTTAATGTGGATCACATCAAAATACAGAGATTGTCCTACATAGTATTTCTTCACATGTTTGCAGTCACACAAGGTACGTTTCATCTGATTCACGATCACAGTTGGACCCTCCAATCTGCAGCTCTGCAGACAGGGTCTTCTGTTTTAACAGCATTCAGCTGTGGTTTGGTAGATAGAAATGATGAGGGGGTAGAACCGTATTACTGAGCAGAATTTTTGTGACCTGTGAAGTAAAGATCTGTGAATTAACAGTGCTCATGAGCCAAATTTTGGAATCTTATCAGGATAGTTCTATCAGGATTATCTTTTTCATAGGTTTTTTGGGGGGACATGGGGACACTTGACAATTTCAAAATGAATTCTCTAAAATGAGGCCCATAGGAGACTGAAACAGAGTGCTGCTTTAACAGTGTATTACTTGTTTAAGAGCTGCATTGTATTCATATTCATTTTGACATACATACATTTAAGTATCTTGAAATCTGAAGTGTATGAATATATAAAGTGTCTGGATGTATCAAAGGGAGGTTTCCTAACATATGCCTTCAAAGTAGTGTATCTTTATAAAGTGAAGTAATTTTAAGGCAATTACATTTTTCTCAAAGAAAGGATCACTAAAGTTACTCATGTCACTGCCTGTTTATTCTTGTCTGAGTCAAATGCCTTTTTCTTTTTTTTTTTTTTTTAAAAAAAAAAAGAACAGCAGATCATCATTACCTGTTATTGAAATATCCAGCTACTCACAATCTCACTGAAAGATCCATTATGTATTATTTTAGGAGTGGGAAGTGAAATAGATGTACCGTTTGAAGAATTTGAACTTTTAGGACATATTTGCAAGTTTCCTCACATAAATATGCCTCAATTTCATCTGCGTCCTGGTTTTATTCCAGTTCTGGAAAGAAATTCTGGCCTAGGTAAAGTATTTTTACTGCTTAATTCACTCATGTCAAGACTCAGCTGTTAGCACTTGTACCAAGACTGTCTTTCTCTAGAGCTCTTCTGTGATGGAAGTGAATGCTCACAGTGAAATAGGACAGATCCAGTGATTTGTTACAAGGTTCTGATGGAAGACAGTAGTTTCTTACAAGTACAGATACTTTTTAATGAAAAGAAACACTGTACATGAAAGAAATGAAGGAGCCATTCTCATTCTAGGAATCTGTAACATAATTAGAAGGAAGAAAGTCTGCTCTGTAGAGAAGCAGCAACAAAGAAAAGAAAGATCAATAAATCAAAAGGTAATGGGATCTGAACAGGCTACAGAATCATATGTAACAACTACCAGCAATGGAATGTTTGAGAATAATATTGTAGCTATTACCTGGTAAATGATAAGAAATCTGAGAAATGAAAAGATTGAAATGTAGCAGCTCAGAGCAATGCCAAGCACCATGCTGTGTATATCTGCCAAAACAAGGAACATGTAAAACACTAATCCATTAAAAGCTCCCATAATGATAATAACCTAAATCAGAGCAATGATTTCTGAAATTTGGCGTAAACCCTGGAGCCTAGTAGATCTCAGAATATGAGAATGGGCTTGAGCTGCAAACTGAGCATCCAGGCTTTGAACACGTGATTTTGCTGGACCACCTCCATTTCAGCTATTGGACTAACATGAAGAAAGCAGAGAATAGATCCCTTTAGAATAACATTCACTAGTGAAGCAAAAGTAAAGTTAAAGTAGATGTGTTCTGTATTTTCCTCCTCTGAGGCCTCCCACAGCAGAAGAAAACAGGGAAAAAGCATGGCTGGTACTCCATCCAGCTGACAGAAAGTCCCCAGGGTGTGTCGTCAGATGACATATGTTTTCTTATTACCTAGGGTTTTAGCTTTTGTTTGTGTTTGATGAATTTTTTATTTGCTTGCTTTTTGCTCTGGAATGCACAAGTAATTTTAAAACTGTTTTAAAGAAGAGGGGGGAGTAGAGTTTGAATTATCTGGATTTTTCTTTTCTCTTTGCAAGAAAGCCTATGGAATTTGGCATCTTAACCCAGCCTCGCCTGATGTGATCGCAAACACAGTCAAATTTTTATTAAAATGTTTTGAATCTTTCAAACATGATATTGATAACTGGAATGGAGCAAAGAGACAGTAGCATCTGGTTTTAATGAATGTGGTCTGCTTATACTTGAAAGCAAAACCATGCAGGAAAAGACTGGAAATTCTTGTTCAGAGAATCAAAGTGCAATAGTGTTTTTCAATACCTGACATCTGTATGCTTAGAATGACCTGGGTGACTTCATTCAACCAATTGTTCATATTTTTTAGATTAAAATGCCATATTTGGATCTGAAATATATTTATGTATTTGGTGCTTTTTCTTGTTTTTCCTTTTTTTTTTTTTTTTTTTTAGCCTGTTATGTACTTCTTTCCACTCCTACAGTCTTAACAAAGCTCTCTGCTTTGAGTTCTATCATACCTTTTCAACTTGGTGACCTTCTTCAATATAGTATATATCAAACTATTTTTATGTAGAAATGTATGTGTTCCCATTACTGTATTGTAGTCTAGACAAATAGGGCAACCCTTTGTGGAGCTATTTTTCTCCTATATGTATTAACATCTGAAAGAACAGAATTACCTGAAACAACTTCCTAAACTGCAGACTCATATAAAAGAAAACTTAAGACATACCCTGTCTTTCAGGGGAAAAAAGAGAGGGCATTGTCAAAACAGAATCTGCAAGAGACCTCCCTGCCCCTCTACCTTCAACTGAAGTTTATTAGCAGCATTTCAGGCCCTTCATGGACATGTTGCACACTGTTAGAGTTTGAATTCCTTCCAGCAGAGTAGTAGTAATAGAATATACTAACATATATTCCTGCATCTTTTCTAGGAATTCATATTGCTTCTGTGAGGTGGGTAAACTTGCTTGGAAATGCAGTCTAGGTATCTGTTTAGGTTTTGTACTTTGAGTTCTGCCCAGTCAAGATGATGATGATGAAGAATTTTTATTACCCAAGCTCTTTCTTTGTTGCTGTCTTCACAGCTTAATCGCCTCTCTCCCTTGGATTCAGAGAAACAGTCACTGAGGTGCCTACCACAACAATGTAATGCTGTGAATAATCATAGGAAAGATGTAGTGGACACTTCTCATACCACAGACGAGTTTCATGCATGGTAAATGCATCTAACTGTGAAGAATACACCAGGTACTTGAAAATGGTAATTTATATTCCATTTCTTCCACTTACACCATTCCACTTACTTCATCATAGTATCATCCTTATACTAGTATTTGAATTAAGAGTAAAGGTTTGGAAAAGAATAAATTATTTTGATCATAAGGACCTACCTACTGTCTATATTTTGAAGTTTTAACTCAGTTTTTCACATGAAAGGCAGAGGATAATTGCCCCAATTATTTAGCAGTATCTATATTCCTAAAGTTTTCAGCTTTTAAAACTGTAGTAAAAGTGGCTTTCATTTACGACTAATAGCTTCTTTGAATCCTTTTGTTATAATCCCAAAGCTGAGAAATCAATGAGGTTGGCCAGTTTGATTAAATAGTTTTCTTAAGTCAAACTATTGTAAAGTTAGCCTTTAAAAACAAATATGCTGCATTGCCTTTGACCATTTACAGTTTTTCTTTGGCTCCACCAAGCATGTGGATGTCTAATCAGGGGATTATCAAGTAGACTAGAGAAATATAACAAAGTCCTGTGCTCTAGTAAATATTTGTATAGCACAAGCCTGGAGAAAGTCCATGTTATATTTTACTGTTGATAATTTAATAACTCAGTGGCACGCCTGAAATTGTACAGTAAATGTCAGTATGTGTCAAATTGTTAAAATTTAATAAGCTCATACTTAAGATGAGGTGTGTCCATGGGTAGGTAATACTGTTATTGGAAAATGTGTTTTGCACATAATGTTTAGGGCATTTATTTGAATTTTGCCAGGAAATAAAGTGAGCAATGGCCATCCAGTTTACAGTTAATAGCAGTGACAACGTCAGTGACAAGCAGAATAACTTGTGCAGAAATAGTCCAGTCTATCAAATGTTCACAAGACCAACCAACAGATTTCATAGAACAGTCAAAAGATCCGTGATTTCCTCTTGCTACAGAAAATAGACCATAGTGTAAACAATTGATTAAATTAACTGAATCTGTGTTGCTTGTGTTTAAGGGATAGCATACAGCATGCTGTCTGCCACAGTAGTTTGTTTGCACTGAAATTAAGCAATAATGATTGAGGCACAGAGCATTTCCTGGGGATTAATGACCGGCTGAGAGGAGTTGATGGCCCAAAGAACAGCTCCTGGCCATTAACCCCAGCCAGTCATTAATCCAAAGGAAATGCCCTGCCCCAAGGTCTTTATTACTCTTAGAAAATGAAAACGAAGAAAAACAAACCCGTTAGGACCTAAGTATTTGTTCTGGGTGGTGAAGTTTCAAACCGTTTTGTGTGTGCAGCTTTTGATAAAACAAATACCTTACCAGTTATTCAGTTGGAGTGCTTGGTTCTCTCTAAAGCATCTTGATATCATCTAGACCTACAGAGTTGACAAGAGGCTAACTGGAGAAACATGATTTTGTTTTCACACTTATTAATCTTTTTCTCACTATGGAATGCAACTTATGGTTAATTCTAACATGATTTAAGTAAGGTGACTGTGTACTTTAAATAAGTATCTTTAAGTAGTCCGTATCATGTTAACTGTTTAGAATAAGTGCTGGCAGAGCACCAAACAGACCTGTTCGTGTTATATTTGAACTTCTTTTCCTAATTTTGGAAGGAATGGACCATCTACACCTTTACAAGAAAAACTAGATGTAAATGTGAAAAGAACACAATCAATTATAATTTAGCATGTATATGGATTGGATTTCTTGAGGTAAATTGCAGACCAAGTTCTTGGATGTTTGTTGTTTTCTCTGAATTTTCTTGAGCAGAGAGCACCTCAGAAAATTAAAAAAAGATGGCTGTTCTTCAGATATAAATTCACTCTCTTCTATACTGTGAAGCAGGATCGTCTCTGCTTTACAGCCTTCAGGAAGTCGGTAAAATTTTTTCAGAAAATTAATATGTGTACCATAGTGATATGTATTCATTAAGTATATTGATCCAATGTTGACATAAAACACAAACTTGATTTATTAATTTACAGACAAATTTTGATTTCTAGACTATGCTATCATTAAGATTAGACTGTTCAATTTATTCTTCATGCTTGTAGCATTGGTAGATCTGGGGAATTTATATCATCTGGGATTGATCAGACTTAATGGTCTACCTCTAGCCATCTCAAACGGGAGGAGAGGGACTGGGATAGAAGTTGCAATGAGGCAACTTAGTATCATGTCATATACTAACCTATATAGGCCAGAGATTTGCTATGCAATTTTCAATTTTTTTGTGGCGATACGCTATAGCACAACTGAATACTAGAAGATTCTTGTCTTGCTTTATTAAAAGGTAGATTTATGTAGTCCATATAGTTAATAACAAATAGTTAATTTACAAATAAATATCCTGTATAGGTAAATGTTAAGAGTTTGGCAACAATTTAAGGAAAACAAATTGATGAAGATAAAGGCCCACAGAGAAGTTGAGGTAAGATGCCTTTTTTTTATTCCCTTGAAACTTCAATACAATCCAAATTAATTTGTTGTAAAGATACATTGTGCTTTCTGTATGTCATTAATTTTATACTAAAGTAATACGTATGCTGCATTATTTTCAAAAGTGAATGTGAAACTATACTTAGCTATAGTTGTGGGAGGATGTCCTGGGGGACTATAGTGACAGTGGCTTACTGCCAATCAGTCAGAAAACTTAAATTCTATTCTTGCATTTTCATCCATATAAGTATGTATATGTGGAACAGAAATCTTTTACTAAAGAGGTCTTCATTCTATCAGGCAAAGTTAGAAGTCAGTGCAAATGATAGCTTAACTAGAAAAATTTTGACTTCAACTAAGGTGTTATTTTGAGGAGAGAAGGTAATTAACCTTTGGAATAGTTCACAAAATGAACAGTTGTGATAGATTATCTGTCACTGTACATTTTTAAATTATATTTTTATTTCTTACTTCTACCCATTTATTTCTGGATGATTTGCTTTATTTTAAGCACGATAAACTTTGGAGAGCCCTTGACCAGTGTTATTCATGAGATCAGACAGGACGATTGCAATTTGTTGTGGCCTAATAATCTGCTCCTTGCTTCTTGTGCGATACTAAGAAAATTGCTTTCTCTCTATTCTTTAGTACCTCCATTTCTAAAAAAAAGATCTTATAAATACTTATATTTTATTTTGAATTCTTCAAAGGAAAACAGCCATATAATGTAGGAATATTTTGATAAAATAACCCTTGTTGTATATGCCATTGATACAAGGATTTAGCCATTAGTCAAACACTGCTAATAAAACGTTGACTCATAAACTTCAGTGGTTATAGTGCTGAAGCTATGGAAAAAAGTTTTCACATAAATACATTTTTCAGGTTAGTAGAACTTGCAGTGACTTTACTGGAACTAGGAATAAGTGTTTACAATGTTGAGCCTGAGTATACTTGTCATCTTCTGTTAACATGAAAAAGAACATTCAAATCACTGTAAAGATAATAGGACCTGATTCAAAACCTACTGAATTGGCCCTGTTTCGTGGGGGGTCTTTTGGTTAAACTCACTGCTATTTGGATCGAGATCCTGTTTCCAAATCTGTAGTCTTGTATGTATTTTAGAGGCACCCCTAAACTAATATAGATTCCTTGCAGAATTCTTCGTTTTCACTGCTTCATACTGACTACAAAAGGAATTACTTCTGTTTGGATACTTGACATCCCCATTATTCTTGTTTAGATCAAGTGCTATTGTAGATGTAGAAAGCTATGTAAATCAGGTTTGTAATAAATATGGTTTAAATCAGCATGTTGTGTAGTACAACATGGAACAAATAGTATAATCTTTCTAGAAAAAAAAATAAAAATTAAAACAACTTACTTGTTAATTTGAAGAGGAAACAACTAGCTTCACTTTAAGCTCTTCTTCCTCTCCTGTTCAGGATACTATTCATTAGGAAAAAAAGAACTTCAAGTTGTGCTAAAACCAGGAAATATATAGTAAACGATAGCTTGATGCTTACAAATCTAAACTGGTTATGCTATGTTTTGAAAAACACAAAGATATTAAGGTACAAACAGTGTCACTCCACACTGAGGGCCAGGTCTAAAAAGTGGCCAGAGCTCACTACTCCATACTGCTATTCTGATGATATGCAATGTGTAATTTTATATATGTGGCTGGCACAGTAGACTTAATAAAACAGTAGTACTATGTATAGAGAGAGAAAGGCCTTGGAAGGCACCAGAGTCACGGAGCATCTGGTTATTCAGTAGAGTGTGGTGAAGGCAGAGGTGAATGCTCAATCCTGCCATAAGATGTTTCAGAAGTAACCTCTTTCTTCTGTTAGAACTTTGCAGCAGAGGTCCCTCTCCCAATATAACTTCCTAAGTCTTCACAGAGTAAAGTTCAGTTCAGTAGTTTTTTTGTTTTCTTTTTTCTTTTTTTTTTTTTTTTAAATCTTCCAGTGGCCATGACCACCTCCAAACCATAAAATGTCTAATCTTAGTGCTCGCACACTGTGCATGGGAAGTACAGAGTACTTCTTCCATTTTAGAGGACTCAAACCTATCCTCTGCTATGAATTAATATAGGCCATACTTGGCTGGGAGGGATAGAGGGACACTAACTTTTCTTTTGACTCTTAGCTACTATAGATTAACTGCTTGATACAAGTATGAACACACTTGTCATACTTGGTGATGAAGCCTTCAGTCAAGCACCAGGAAACCTAGGACCTTACCAGTACAACAATCATCTGTTTATAGATTTATTAATTATTTTTTTCCATGTAAATTGTAAAAACTGTTCTTGAAGCATGAGTCAAAACTCCAGTTCTTCACATTTTCCCGTTGTGTTGTAGTCTTAGAACAAAACCCTTGAAAACCTTGACTTTTCAAGAATAGCTTCAGCACAATGATTCTTGTTGCTCTCCACACGTAGACATGTCTTTCTTTTCCACCCTGCAATGCTAACTTCCCTTGCAAGTGAGCAATCAAGATTGGAATCCTTTTAGGCAGAGGTAGGAGCTGAAATTCTATCGCCTTTATGTGTGGAGGATTCTGCAAATCCTGAACTGTTAATAAAAATAAGTGGTAGCCTAACCCTTGGCCATATCTTAAAAAGAAAGAGAAGCTGTAGAAACTATTGCATTGGTTTTGGAACCTGATCTAGAGTGTCTACAAACTGCATTGTCAGAGTTCCTTGGGATGCTGGTGCTGATGCAGGAACTAAGGTCTGAGCTGTTCTGCTCTGTGGTAACTGGTATGCTCCAATGCAGGCATGAAAGCAGCAATGAAGGCACTCAGGACTTAAAAATTAAAACTGGGGCACTTTTAGAGTTTGATTATATTTCATGGTAGCTGAGTAGCCTTTTCATGATTGCCTAAATTCTACCTAAATTTAATTTATATTTCTGCATCTTTTTTTTGCATCTGACCATGGCTGTTCACCGAGTAAAGATCAAAATCACACCTTGAACAGTTACCATATATGGCCAAGCCCCACTGCTTTTGATTTTCCTTTTTTCATCAAAGCACTAGAAAGAGCATCTTCACTGAGTTCATTGACGTTCTTTAACAGGGTGGTCTGTAAATAGTCTAAAGGTTTGCTTACTATATGAAAGTACAACGCTTGCATCACATGCATACAGTCCATTTCTTTTCTTAACTGAGAATTGAAACATATTTGGGGAAATTTAATCTACCAGGTAATAATTTTTGTCTCAGAATTAAAAGCAGTGAGTCTAAACTGTGCCTATCTGTACGGAACATACTGATCTTCTTAAAGGTCTTTTCCAACCTAAGTGATTCTATGATTTTATGACCTGAAACAGTTTGTCACTTTGTCCTCAAAGGAATAGAACAGATTTTAAACTCACATTGCTATTTTCAAAATAAGTCTCATTCATGTCAGTTGTGCAGACAAGGGAACTGTATACCAGAACAAAAAGAGACCAAACCACTGTGAAAAACTCGTGTTCTGCATACACAAAGGAAACTTGAAGTGTATCCTTTGGAATAAGAGATTTCACTATATGTGTAAGGGAAAGCTGAGACAGTCTGAGGAAGCAGCAAGCCACACACTGACCTTTTTGCATCCTGAGAAAAAGATGGATTGTGTTAACTTTAAGTTAGTGTGGTAAAGGTCCAAAAGTACAGATAGATTCTATTGAACTATGTTATGACTATTTATCAGGGCTAGAATAGTTGTAAAATACTGCTAGAATTTTCTCTCAAGTAAGTGCTCTCTCTCTCATCATCAAATAAAACATTTACAGGGACCAAACTTGTAACCATAAATGTGCTCCTGTGTTCAAACACAGCTACCCTTTAGAACCACCTCAAGATACTTCTGTCTAAACCCCCATTTTAAAATTGTAATAGGTGTTAGGAACATGAGGCTATCTTTTTCTATATGTATTAATTCATGTAACATAATTCTGCAAGATGGCACACATTTACTCATGGGTTAAGATTATAATTGCATTTCAAAGCTGTTCTCTTGAAACATTCTAAAACAGATTATGTTCTTAAAAACTCTGTTCTTTACTTTGCATGTTTTAGTACTACATCCCATTAAAGCTGTGTTTGAAGTTACTAGGATTTGTTAAAAATTTGATAATGCCTAAGCAGATAAGAGATTATATGCTTTATGTATATATTTGAAGGATTTGTTCCAGCTTGGATACAGTGTATTAATTGGCCACCTACAGTGAACAGCAGTGTTTAATATTTAGAACCTTTTTCCTCATTGTTTTCCAGGGAGAAGAGCATGTAAGTATTCTTTTAACTAAATTTGCTAACTTTCTGGAACACATTTAAACAATGTGTGCTACTTGTGTCATATTACATTAACTTCACTTCTACAGACAGGTTGTATACATATGTAATAAATAGCCCCTCAGGGATCAGATCTAGATTAACTGAGAAAAACGTACTCTGCTGTACGTTAAGTAATTTACAATATCTCAGTAAACATTAGAAAAGACATGTTTGTCTCACCAGAACAGGTTAACAGTGCCTGCAGACTCAGTAATGATTGTAGAATGTTAAACTATCAAGTGGAAAGTCATAATCACTTTAAATAGTCTAATTTTTTCCCCTAAAACATCAGGCTATCTGGAGTTTGATACCATGATGTCTGTAATAACACTGAATGTTTATGATACGGAATGAAAGTAGTAAAGAAAGACACCAGTTCTGCAAAGGATCTAAACAGAGTGACTTAAAACTGAGAGTGGGAGGCTTGGAGAGAAAACTTGTTTAAGTGGGTAATCTTTTATTTAAATATTATTCCTTCTAAATTAAATTGCAATATTTGCAATTAGAGATGAAACATGTTTTAGACATGCCAGTTTTATTTACATATCACAAAATCCCTGTAGCCTCTCTATTTCTATCAGCTCAGTTCTGCCTGGTAATTATTTAAATACAGGTATAGTAACTGTGCTATTGCTGGCTTTGGTTTTTATTGTCCCAGTCCAAATG